TTGAGGTGGGGGGAAAGAGGGGGGAGGGAGGGGTTGCAAAGGCAGCTTGGTACAGCGGGGGGGAGGAGGTGTGTGTGTGTGTAACAGGGAAGGCAAGTTTAATCAAAGTACGTACATACATACATATATACATACATACATACATACGTTCAGGTGGTCGCCAATGTGCTCTGGGCGCTGCAGCGGTTCGACTGCCGTACGCCGCCAGCCGATTTGGTGACGGCGCTACTGCAGGCGGGCAAGTCCATGATGTCGTACACGGCTGCCGCTTCGGTGGAAGCGACGGACGGGGTGGATGGGTCATGGCTGCGAGGCGGGCCGCAGGCGCAGCAGCAGCAGCAGCAACCTCCGCCGCCGCCGCCGCCGCCGCCGATGCTACAGCTGCGGCCTCCTGCGCAATACGTGTGCCAGCCGTCCCAGGGGTCGCTGGCACCGCACCAAGCGCAAGAGAGTAAGCAGCAACAGGAGCAACAGCAGCAGGAGCAGCAGCAACAGGAGCAACAGGAGCAGCAACAGGAGGAACAGGAGCAGCAACAGCAGCTCGGTAAGCGGCTGCTATCCGCCGACATGCTCGTCACCGTGGTATGGTCCGTGGGCCGACTGAAGAGCTTAGGGGCGCTGCACGTGGAGGGCAACCGGCACGCGGCGCCACGGCAACCCTATTTGGGTAAGCAGCAGCAGCAGCAGCAGCTCCTCGCGGGCGCTGCCGTTGGCGGCAGCAGCAATATCGACGGCGGCGAGATATCCGCAGCGGTGTACGACGGCTTTCTGGAGGCGGCAACGGACGCTGCCGTCGGTGTGCTGCGGCGGCAGTTGGCGGCGGCGGCAGCGCCGCCCCCGGGGGACAGGACACGCTGGGCGGCGACGGCGGCGGCGGCGGCGGCGGCGGCACATCTGGGCCCTCGGTCCCTGGCGGCGCTGGCGAACGGCCTGGCGCTGTTGCAGGTCGGTGTGTGTGTGTGTGTGTGCGTGTGTTTGTTGGTTTCTGGCTGGCTGGCTGGCTGGG